TTATATAAGTTATCGATAAGCAATTTGAGAGCTGGCGGTCTGTTGAAAAATATGAGGAAAGTAAGCAAGCTTAAACCGGCACAAGACGGTCAGCTCAAAATACAGATAGAGAGATACCGAAAGACTGAAATTAGGAGAAAGAGCAAGGGAATGAGGCGCTTGTTAAATACTTTCTACTTAAGTAAACAGCTTGAAGCTAAGCAACGGATGCGCGACAGACAAGCACTTGAATGGAGGCTTTGAAGAACCCTTTCACTGTTTAATTCCTCAGTAAATGGGCTTTAGTGAATCGTACTCATGCGGAGGAAATTGAATAAAGCCATAATTATTTTTCCTTTATAACACCTCGTTCTATTCCCGACAATTATTGGGCCCCGCTTCAGTAATCTGAGTGGAGAAGCTAACGTAGCGCTCTTCGGCGTGGCTTATCGCAGTTCCAAGTAATCTTATCTTGCATCGATTTGATATGGACTGAGTCAGAAAGTCTTGCGAAACTTCCTCTTTAGTCACATATGTATGTATCACCCAGACCTATCGCTAGAATATATTCCAAGATAAGTATATAGATGAGGGTATAAAGCGGATTCTAGGTATATGCCTGTGCTCAAATAACAGAATGGAATTGGAATGTAAGGTGTTCAAAATGTACCCCCGAGAATAACTTACAGACGAATACAGACTGAAGGATCTACAATATTAAATGTGAAACAATGAAGAAGTGGAACAAAGACAAATAAACTCATCAAGCGGCAAACTGACGTTCAGTTCATGTACATATACATACACACATACATTGTTTGTACGTTTAGGGTCTTTTGATTTCCTTTTCAGGCGTGGCAGACCCTGTAAAGTATAAATATTCTTGATCAAGGCGACGGTCTGAGTGGACTTAGCCCTAGCCCTGAGTCCGTTCGTCCTTCTGTCCGTATGTTTGAACGCGTAGATCTCACAAGATATAAGAGCTAGAGACTTGAAATTCGTTTCCTAGGTCCGTGTATAACACGCGAATATCAATAACTTGTACCGTTATTTAGTTACCGATGAAAAACATCGAAAATTGGTAACATATTCATATATATATTTCATTCCTAGAGTTAAAATCGCCCAATTTTTAATCTAGATTTATGTGTGTTTTATAGAATTTAGATTTTTGTCAAGATTTGTGCATGTTTAATAATTACTGAAATACCAGTTGCTCGAATGGCTCAGGGGATCTTGTTGTCGAGCAGTCTCGACTAGAGATTTCTTACTTGTCTTTTTTTTGCAATTTATGATAAACTCGTCATAGGTTTGACTTTTAAATTTGTATTAATTCAGTTTTTTATTGTTTTTGATTTTTTTTGTTTATTTATTTTGTTCTTCGCTGTAAGCTAATGTCAGCTTTTAAGCATTTTTATTGCTGAACAGCAACAACAACAGCAGCGGCAGCAACACAAAACTAAAAACAGATTTTGTACGTCATACTCATAACCTTGAAATATCGAAATAATTTGCTTTGGATATGGCAATAGGTATTGAAAGGTGCCATTTTCGATGTTTTTTATTTGACAATTTCCAGTTCCTGTGTGTGTGTATGCGTGTGGGAATGGGTCGTATTTACACAGTAACTTACCTACATATACATATGTATGTATGTATGTATGCATGTATATAAAAGAAAGTGTATGTGTGTCTCTGTGCTTACAAGCGAATTAGCGTTAAAATTTCATTTGTTTTGCCATGTGCCATTCGCTACGAGTCCAAACAGTACGTCCCTCTCACTCACACTTGCGAAATTCCCTAAACAGTTCTTTTTATTGCCGCTGTTATTTATTTTGTTTTGTTTAGCTCTCATGTGTGGGGGCGGTTGATAATCCCAGCTCACTATTCTCACTGACTTACGCAACGCATTCGCACACACACACACGCACACACGCGCGCGTACCGCTGGACACACTCATGAGCGGAAGAGAGAATGACAGAGTGCAGGACAATCCTGTGTCAAAGACGAAAGAAATGCGCTTTGCTAAGCATTTTAACAACAAGCAGCGATGCTAACAGCGCACCGATCTGTTTTTGTTGCGCGCTTTTGCTCTCTCACTCTGCGCTCACATGTTCGCTGTTTGTGTGTATGTCACGGCAGCAGTGGCCGTATGCAAAAATAAAATACAGAACAAAAATACATACATAAAATTTCTGATGCTATTGTTTTTATTGCTTTGAACTTTTTGTTGTGGCCATTGGCCGTTGGGCGCATTGTGGTTTTCGAACGACACTCGTGCACCCGCATCTACACACACACATATATATATACATACATATATTATTAACGGCATAAACAACACAAACAAATGAGAATTCGACAGTAAACAGTTAAGCGCAAATATTTGCATTAGCTATGAAATCAGCGCACAAAATAAAATCGCCGTCATTTTAATAACACATAAATAACGTAAGCAATGTAAGAAAATAAAATAAATAACAGAAGCAACGAAATCAACAACTAACCAGCGGTCAGGCCAGAGCTTTCGGTTGTCGCGAGTCGCGACCGGCTTAAGCGCGTGCAAATGTCAAACTGAGCGCCAAAACGGAACAAGAAACATTTACGAGCCGCAACAGCACAACCAGCGCTGAATATTACTCTCCCGTTGTGTTTCTGTCTCGCTTGTGCTCAGCACTTAACAGTGAGCACTGAGCAGCGTCAGTGCAGCTGCGCAGCTTACTGAGCTTTAAGAATTTTTTTGCGTTTTGTTTGCTTTTTCTGCCTTTCTGTTTGTTTGCATACTCTGTGCACGAGGTAAATGAAAGCATATTGATTGTAGAGTATTCACGCATAAAATCAAGTATTGTTAGTGTATGTACATGTATGTACATATGTATGTATGTATGTATGTATGTATGTATGTAATAACAATCAATTTTTGTTAATCGTCTCCATCTCATTAAGGATTCTGTGACTCCGTGAAAGTCTTATGGTAATTACAGAGTATTCCGCAGTCGGCGATAGACGACAGCTACGTTTCTAGCTATTTGTTTTTGTGGTACCCAATCCCGCTCGGTGGTCTCTGGGTCTGCTGCTTTGATTGCTCGCGGCGCGTTTAATTGAATGCGCGTCAGCTTGACACGCATTGCTTGACACTTGCTGTCACTATTGTTGTTGTTGTTGTTGTTGTTGTTGCAACTTCTTTGGCTACTGCTGTTAGTGTCTAAGATGCCCCCGCAAAAGATAAGTACGTCCCGGGGCCGAGCGGATACTTACAGAGCTTGTTAAGATTCATCATTGCTTGGCAACAGCTCGACTCGCTGTCAAATGAAAATGATATCAAATGATATGAGGCTTAACATATGGCAGAAATGTTAACTTTCTGTAAGCTGAATAATGTAAAAGTGGCATAGTTGGAAGCTGTAACGTCTATGTTAAGTCAATGTTGATAGTCGCCACTTACACAACGGTTGTTACGCAGCATTTGAATTACAAGATATTAATATATGTACATACATATGTATTCAAAGTTTCTAGGTCGCTGTGAAGTGTAACATACAAGTCTTAACAGTGCCTAACATTCTAATCATTATAAATAATTTGAATACTAGAGGCTATAATTCCTCCATTAAATACATATATACACAATGAATCTGAAGTCTCCAGGTCTAATAGTATGCAAATTAGGCTTAAAAAAGTCAATCAATGCATCGATTATTCTCCATAAAAATATCGGGTGAGTTATCGAAAAAATATGATAGACTCGTATTGCATAGACGAGAATGCATGCAAAGTTTCAGCTCTCTATCTTCTGAGATCGACTTACTCAGACGGACGGACAGACAGACGGACAGGGCCAAATCGACTCAGCTCGTCGCCCTGATCAAGAATATATATACTTTATAGGGTCTATGATGATTCCTTCTGCCTGTTACATTCTTTTTCACAAAAACATTATACCCTGATTTCCCATTTTCAATGGGTTCAGGATATAAAAACAAGAAAAATGTGCGTTCAACAGTTAAGTTGAAAAATCGTGCATCTAAACTTTATTTGCTGACTGTATGTACATATGTATTTACATATATACATATATGTATAAGAGCTTAAGCTAAAATGCCTTTTTTTTAAATATCCATACACACTTGCCTGAGCATTATGCTATTAACATATTCTTACTGACCACAAAAAAAAAAAAAAGCCATCGGCGCTTGAGAATCAAGTTATTCAACAATTCAATATAGTACAATGCATATACATAGATGTGTATATAAATATATGCATTTATATATATATACATATATATTTATTTATTTATGTATATATTTATTTATATACACATATTTAATCTGAGCTGCGGAAAACTCTCCATTAATAAGTATGCCACACGCGAAGCGGCTTTTGTTTATGCAACCGAAGCACTGCTAGCCCGATATAGCATCGACTGTGGATTATGAGTCACTGTTGATTGAGGCTTGAACGTATTGCTTCCAATTTCCAATGGATTCTACAACGTAAAAAGTTTATTGAAGTTCTTTGGTTTTTATACCCTGAACCCATTGAAAATGGGAAATCAGGGTATAATGGTTTTGTT